GCTTTTATCCTGAAGAATTTAAAGTAGGATCAGACTCCTTGTATATTCTAGAAAAAGCTCTCTTGACATCTTCTCATTTTCCTGATGACCATAGAGACAGTTCTATAAGTGGACAGTTCTAGAATAAGGCCAACCTCATATAGGTTATGCGTGACTATCCTTCTTGCTTCCTTATTCAAATCTTATCTATGTAGAACTTCTAGGCCCTTAGGGATGAACAATATGGAAGTATGAGGACAAATTAATGCCCAATGGGGCAATCCTTGATCACCTGGGAATAGGAGATGATGAATAAATGACCAGGAAAGATGAGTTAAAGGAAGGACTAGGACCAAACTCCAAAGAACATCAGCTCTTAGAAATAGACCATGAAAGATGCAGGGACAGGCCAGAAGTAACAAAGGAAAACCAGAAAAATGATTTCACAGGAAGCAGAACAAGAAAGTTTTGCTTGGATCAGAAATAATCAATGCTGTCAAATTCTGGAGGAAGGTCATCTAAGCTAAGGCATGGAAAACATCCACTATAATTAGAAACATAAGGACATCGGTGACCTTTACAAGATCAGTGTCATTGCAGTCATGGGACAGTAGCCATATTTGGGAGTATGAGGAAAGACTAGGAAATAAAATAGTAAAGACAATATATTAGTTTTTTATTATTAAATTGCAACACACATTTATTATCATATAGTTCTGAGAGTTGGGAGTCCATTGTGGGTTTTATGGGTTAAAATAAAGTGCTCACAGGACTGTGTTGCTCCTAGCATCTCTATGGAAGAGATCCCTTGCCTTTTCCAGCTCCTAGAGCTTGCCCAGGACCCTTGGCTTATGGACTTCTTCCTCCATCTTCAAATCCAGAAACACTGCATCTCTGATCAATCCTCTATAGTCATAGCTCTCTCTGAAATCACACCTGGAAAGGTGTTCTGGTTGTAAGGAGTCATAGACTGTCTCCCTCCTCCCAGATATCACAGGGGAATTCCTTCATCTTGAAGGCTTTAACTTTTATCAAATCTCTGTGTGATTACTTTTTACCATAGCAAGTAACACACTGATAATTTGGGGGATTAGGACAGGTCTTTCGTGTGTGTGTGTGTGTGTGTGTGTGTGAGAGAGAGAGAGAGAGAGAGAGAGAGAGAGAGAGGGATTACTTTGCTTATTACAGACAATGAGTACAACTTTAGACCTTTTCCATGGAGAAGAGAAATGGTGTAGAGCTTAAAGGCATGTGAAGTCAGGATTTTTTTTTTTTAAAGTCATAGGAAGTCAGTAGTTCATATAACTCTGGCTGCTCTTTAGGAATTGTCCTTGACAGAGTAATTTTGGTTCTGCTCCTTGTCTCCAGCATTCCAAATTCTAAAAAAAAATAGCTAAATTAAGATGCTGATAAAGACTCTAACTTGCTGATTAAGATGTTAACTGCTAAATAATCATTTTTTAGATATACAGAACCTAGAATATTGGGTGAGCCTTAGGTAACACTAGAATGTCTAATGTCTCTCTGTAATCTTTAATCCTGCTAACACAAAGTGTATAAATTGCTGTGAGTTTAACTTGCAGAACAGTAATATGCTTGTGCAAAGAAAATATAGTACTAGACCTAGGAGCTCGAGGTCAATTGTGGTGTTCCAACCAGAGGGAAAATAAAAGACATATGCCCTAGATGACACATTGTCCTACTGTAACTCTGCCTATACAAGCCCTTTTTCTGTATTTGAGTTCACTCAAGATGGTGTTTTGAGGACAAAATTCCCCTCCAGCTTAACACTGACAGCCCTTGGATAAACCTGATATTCTTCTCACCACCTCTTGTTTCCCAAGTATTGGTTTTTGAGTGGTGAGCAGAGGGATTTTCATCTGGCAACAACCAAAACTGGCTATTAGACTGGGACAGTCGTAGGTTAAGTTTTTATAATGAGACAATGATTTCCCACTACATGTTAAAGTATGGCTAAGAGGATGACTTGGTCTTCATCAATCTAATCTGGATGGTCACATCTTTAAGAACTTTAGTCTTGCTAAAGTAATACCATGCAAATATTTATTGAGTTTGCTCTGCTATAAAATATTGTACAAGAAACTAAAATATTTTTTATGAAATCTATATTATAGTCCTTTAAACACTACACATTCTAAAATCTTTAGAGTAATATGATAGAATTAATGAATGGTCCACAACCGCCATTCTTGTTATGACTAAATTGCCCACAAAATCATGTTCAAATAATTGAGCGATTAAGCATGAATTATAAACTAAATTAAGAAATATTCTTTAAGCTATTTTTCTTAAGATTCTTAAATATGTGTTAATATACTTTCAAAGTGTTTGTAATATTTTTCTATATTAATATAATGTAGGATTTTTCTATACTAGGTCAGAACAGTAAAGGAAATGGCAGAATCAGTTTTATTTGTGGATAAAGAATAGTCTGACCCTTTTAGTTCTTTAATAAGGTGGTCATGGAATTTTTTTGAGCTGAATCTTCTACTTATCTTCAGCATAAAATTTGATCATTTTTTGGTGGGGGCAGGAATAGTATTGAAATGGTAAAGAGGTTAAAGTGACCTCTCTCTGTATTATGTGCAGGGAGATTGCTTTCTTTTTTTGCCAAGAGGTAGCCTTGGACTTTTCAGACTTTTAATCCTGGAGTCGTCCTTCCCTGGGGCTGACCAAAGGAAGCCTACTGTGTACTGAACTGTGGTTCTTTGAATCTTGTAATAATGGATTCTAGCTACACCAAGTTCATGCATATGAAATAAATTTAATGGGTGAGCTAGTTCAGTACTCAGCCATTTCTCTCTATCTTCTTTTCTTCCATCTCTTTTTTATTGGAGGCTCAACCTCATTAGTATTTCAGGAAAAAACTGGATCTTGTCCATCATTTTGGATTTTGCTTTTCTTTTTCTGGCAGGCAGAGCCTAACTTTTCAATAGGGGAAGTGGGAAGGGACACAACACATTCAGAGTTTATGAAAGACCTTATTTACCATCAAAGTGAAAGTTTCCAGATACTCTAGCCCTGTTTTCTTATGCTCTTATGTCTTTGATGAGGAATTAAAAACTGTCGCCAGGGCCACAGAGGCACTGAGAGGTGTCTGGCAACAGGCACTACACGGTGTCCTGGAGTTGTTCATTAACTACAAATAATATTGAGGAGTAGACTGAGGGGTTGAAGGGTTGGAGTTGTCAGAAACTACAAATATGGTAATCATATTGACGCAGGCATTTCTGAGAGAAATTAAAATAAATTCTTTCTGATAGCATTCACCTTTCTTTTTTGCTCTATTTTTGCAAAGCATTCACTGTGGTTTGCCTTTTAAGAGCATGGCTTATACTTCTGATACCCTCAATAGCAAGTCCTTGGATGGTAGTTCTCAAACGAAGATCTTGTTGAAAGAATTTAGGGTGTGGGGGCTGAGGATTTAGCTCAGCGGCAAAGCACCTGCCTGGCAAGTGCAAGGTCGTGAGTTCGAATCCTGGTACGGGGGGTGGGGGGAAGACTAAAAAAAAAAAGAATTTAGGGTGTTATGGATGAGACATTCATTCAATAAATTTAGGATGGGGCCCAGGAATGCTCACTTTAGAAAGACGTCAGGTGATTTTAATGTGGTCGTCCCTGACCCACCTTGAGAAGAATTTGTCTGGAGATCACAGCCTCTGCGGTGGTCGGCCTTAGCACTACGCCATGTTCTCAGGGGTCTCCCAAACATGTATGTGGAGCTGAGTCAAATTCTTTGGAAGGATAAATCCCTACTGGTGATTCAAACTCCAGTATCGTGCTGTCAGAAGTGAGCTGGCAGGCCTAGAGGACTGCGCATAGACTAATGTTTTAGACTAATGGTAAAGAGAAATGCACAAGCAAGTTTTTCATTGGGTGCAACTGGTGGAATAAAAATTCTGTTTGATTTAGACTAGCTGATGGCAAGCTGCTCTATCTTCTTATTTTTTCTGCACTGGGGAATAGGCAGACCCTGGAGGACGAAAAGCATTCATTCCTCGCTGTCTGTGGTGTTTGGAGAGAAGGTTCAGTCATGTTTGAGTTTCCCGGTCGTTACTGGATCTGTGCTTCCTGCGCCTTCCTTTCCTATGTTTACCAGGTGCCCTGGCGTCCTCTCTTTCATGTGCGCTGCCCTTTGTCACTTGCTCACTCCGTGTGACGCTATCTACACTACGTGCTCTTTGCTCTTGCCTGAATCTAAATAACCATATACAAAAGAGGAAAATCACAACTTTTACATCATTCAAAATTTGTATTTTTAACCAATGAAGAAAAGTACAGTCCTTCTTGGTTTCATTATACATTATAGTCACCACCATGCTTTGAAATATACACTATCTAGAAAAACCAATAATTGTTTTCCTGTAAATACTGAAGAAAGTACCTATCATTTAGCTTTGCTAGTGCCTTCCATTCTTGGAACAAGTTAACACGCCACTTCCTAGCGTCAAAACCATTCATTCAGTTTATTGAAATCTCATTAGTTGTGGACTGTTTAAAGTGGTTCTAAGTAAAGCAAAACGACTGGAGAATATATGTGGAGGACGTTTAGATAAAAATGTATGTGGATTGTTTTTGTTAAATTTATTGGAAATAATCAATGCTTAGTAAGTCTTGGCTTTCTTTACAAGTAAGAAAAGGCAATAAACTGAAACATTAAAAGCAGGCATGTGTGTCTACCAGTCACCTATCTTTTGATCAGCATTCAGTAACAGGTTTATGCTTTGAAACCACGGCAGCTCCTAGAACAAAACTGGCACAAATATCCTTGTCTCTCCTTGAATTTACTGCGTAGATGTTGGAAAAAAGTTACAGACATGTAAAGATGTCTGAACAGCCCGGTGCCATGGTGACGGCGATTGTTTCTGGAGTTGATTGTATAGGCAGGGGTTGGCACTTTCTTAATGTATGCTCATTTATTATGCATACATTATCGACTTTCGAAGAGCAGACAGGAGGGTGTCTGTCTAGTGAAGCAGTCCCGGCTTGTGGGGGAGGGTTTGCAAGCAAACCTGTTTTGTGCCTGAGTAAAACCAAAAAAAATCCATGTGCTTCTTTTCAAAGACAGGAGGGTCAGTACTGTGCTTGTGTTTGTTCCCATCCCGTTATGTAACCGTGGGGACTTGTTTCTTTGCTCTCAGGATTTGTGCAAAACACATTAAAGCTGAACAATAGGCGGGAGTCTCAGGAGCAGCTCTGGAGCTGTCCTGGAGCGTGTCCTCTAGGTTTGGGAACCTCCAATTAGTTCCATCTCAAGGGCCGATTGTGTGTGTGCGCGCGCGTGTGTGTGCGAGTGTGTGTTTGGTTAGCTGGCACGACGCACTTCCCAGGGTTGTGTTTCCTTTTTCCTGAGATTTGGCGAAGGGTAAAGGGTCGGAGTCACATGGACAGAAAGCATTTGATTAACGTCCAAGTCCCCGCGGTGGCGGCAGGGGCCGCCTCCCCTCGGGCTCCGGCCGCGTGAGGCGCAGCGGCGTCTCCCCGCCCGCTCCGGCTCCCCGCGCC